TCATTAAAATACATATATTGAATTTAGTGTTTCCTTAGGATATTTATTTGTTTGTTTGTCAATGTAAGAGTTCTTTCCCTCTCAGGCGATGCATTGCATTACCAGTATTGCACCTTATGTTAAATCAACCTAAGTACTAAATGGGTTGTTCTGGCTTATATTTCTTTTTAAAGCTTCCCTGTAAATACTTTAGTGTTTGTGTAGGATTAAACTAAAGTGGCTGTGCAGGTTTTTGAGTTATTAGTCGGTGAGGAGCACAGCAGGAGTAGCAGCCAAAGACTGCAGTCATATGTCCACTCGGTCTGCAGGCAGACTCAGGAGGAATCTGTACATATACTGCTCTGTCACAATGAGTGGAAAAATGAGTGCTCAAAGACAGTCTGGTAAAAGACTGAGAGACAGAGAGAATCTCCTTGTTCCCTGTCGACTAGTCTAAAATGTGCCATCTCAAAAAATGAGAAAATAACAGGCAATAAAGGTGAAACTGACAGAAAGAAGAGGAAGAAAAATGAGAGAGACAGAGCGACAGCTACCAACACAAATATGGATAAGACTGTAAATGATGATCTGTCAACACATTTTCCGTGTTTTTGCACACAAGAGGGCTCTCTGTGCTCTATGTTTAATTCATCACCATGGACTATAAAAAAGGAGGAAAATAAAAAAATGTAGTAATTCACAGCTTAACCTACTGAATTAATATAAATGTCTATTTAATAGCATTTGTGCGTATTTTACCATAATGTTGTTAATTGGAAGTGTTTTTATTTATTTATTTTGTATTTATTGTATTTATTTTTGTATTTAATTTAAACATTGGGTAAATATTATGTGGCCGGAGCTTTGAAGTATGGTCTGTGGTGATATGCGGGGGCCAATTCCGAAAAGTTTTGTAACAGAGAACATAAATCTCTCTGATATCATGACATTTTGAAAATATTCTCTCGGCTGCTTGCTCTAACTGACAATATGAGCTCACCATTCACACAATAATTTGCACTTCACCCAGAATATATCATATAAGTGCTTTAAAGCAGAGTTTTATGTTTTATGAAAGGCCATTTAATGCATCATGCTGTTAAGAGGGTTATAAGTTTTGAGTCACTCTGGATCCATTCAAGGATCTCCTGCTGACCAGAACAGTGATGTCAGCATTACAAAGTGTTTAAAAGTGGCAAATAATGACGAGTCCATTTTAACTGGCACGGGCACACAGAACCATTGGTCTTTCCAAGGCCTGTTAAACACCATCATACATAAAAGCAGGATGAAGGCTAGAGAAGGAGAGTGAAAGAGCACATACATAAACACACTTCAGTTTTCATTATAACTGAGTGTTGCTGCAAAAAAAGGTGTGCAAAATATTCAAACAGTGGAAATGTTTAGAGCATCTCGGTCCTTATTTAACGCAGGGAGGAGGATCACACATGCTTTCCATTTGCAGTAAGTGTTGGGAGCACTAAAGCAGTTGGAAGAGACCCACACTGGGACAACGGTGGGCCTACAATGGGCTTTCTCTGGTGCAGTAATGGTTGGAGCATGCTCAACAGGAATAGCTGCGGTAGTGTTAAACCTCCGTGCATCTGCCAGGAATGCTGCCGTAGAAGCAGTTCTGTCTCACTACGTCTGAGCTCCATAAATGCCTTCATTGTGCCCAAGACACTGCCAGAGTCAGACGGATCACGCCACACCATGTCCTACCACACTGTGACAGAAAATAGCCCAGCATAAGAAGCTGAAGAAAAAACAGCTAATGTTTATACAATGTTAGTCGGGGGCTGGTCAATTAAGTTCTCAGGAAAATTAGGCCTAGTGTCTAGTGGAATGATCATTTTGAGATGTCAATATGAGATTGTTACAGGAAAAAAATGAGAAAGACTGAGAAACAGAAACTGCCTTTTTAAGTTAATTTTTTGAAAAGTATATTGATGTATAACACGCACTGAACACTATCTCTATTACGCATCTGTTACTGGCGAGCTCCGTCGAGCCATGAAGGCCAGACATGAAGATTCCATGACTCTAGGTTGGGGTACAATATCGTTCCCTGTGCTTGAGAGAGGAGGTCTCTCTTCAGCGGGATAGTCCACAGAAGGGCTGCTAGCATCTCCACCAGTTCTGGGAACCACGGCTGGTTGGGCCATTTCGGTGCCACAAACAGAACGGATCTCTTTCCTTTCTGATTTTGCAAAGCACACAAGGCAGAAGTTTCACTGCAGTGAATGTTTTCGTGCTGTTCCGTGCTATTCCCCTCGAGCAACCGCATGGAGCTTCAGCCAGTTTATGTGCCACAACTTCTCCATTTCTGACCATGTCCTGAAGGCTGGTCTGCCATCGCATATGGCTCCCCAGCCCGTGCTCGATGTATCTGTCGTAACACTCTTTCTCCTGATCACCTGGCCAATAGGAACCCCGGCGATACAGAATCAAATCGTGCCAAGTGGTCATCGCATCCAAGCACTCGTGCGTCATGTGCTTGCGTGCCAAGATGAGAAGTCTGAGCTTGTCTCTGAGCAGCTCAATCTCTGATTGGTCTAAAACCAGCCAATCGACGAGATAGTTTAGGATGCACATTCCGCTCTGCTTCAGAGGATAGAGAGCCGCATCCATACATTTTGTGAACGTACAAGGAGCCAGAGATAACCTGAAGGGTAGGACCGTGAATTGATACACTATACCCTCGAATACAAATCTCAGGAAGCACCTGTGGCGAGGGGCTACCTGAATGTGAAAATAAGTATCCTTTAAATCAACAGAGATAATCTCCCGGTCTGATGTGTGAGAGGATTTGCCTCAGCGTAATCATTTTGAGCGCTCCATGAACGTCTCCACCACTGCTCCGAAGAGACCTGAGGGGTTTACGGGTGCATCCAGAAGGTCTTTTAACTCAGGGTAAGCCACAGGTGACGATCTAGCACCACAAGATTTCCCATGTTGCGGCCGATCACTCGAGCTGTCACCTTCATTGCTCTGAGGGCCAGATCTATGGTGCATCGGAGCTCTTTGAACATGCCCCACTTGGTCAGCGCCATCCACAGAAGACAGGAAGGTGGATCCTGGATTGTGCACTTGACTGCTGAGTGGCACGTTCCACGACTTTGATATTTCGTTGTGCACCTTGGGGAAAAGGGACTGGGGATCTGTGGGGTGTCCTTTTGGCTGCGGTCCGACTGGAGGTACCATTCGTCCAGACGGCTTCTGGCTGGCTCGACAGGAGGCACCCACTATAAACCGAGCTCATCAACCGTCTTGGACAGGACGCGTTGGAGCTCGACATCACTATGATGGAGGTCTACCGTGTAGCTGCCATGGGGGGCAGTATAATCCTCATCCTCAGTGCCCGCCATAGCGCCAAAAGACACCACATGTTGCGCGTCGGGGGAGGGGTGGAATTCAGCGGTCATGAAGCTCACTGGAAGGGAACCTGCAGTAGGGTGGTGAGGGGCGCGTGGGCACTGAGCCGGTGCGAGCACGTCACCTGACCCTGACAGATCCACATCAGAAGCTCGCAGCACTTTCCTCCTCGGCTCGAAAGAGGCTGCAGAGGAAGAGCGTGGCAGGGCTTGATGGGCAAGTTCATCACCTTGGACGATGGCCACACGGAGCCTGAGAGTCCAGAGGCTCATATCTCCACAGTGGGGGCAGTCCGTTCCCCCAAGTGCTGCCTCTGCGTGGACGCGACCCAGGCAGAAGACGCACGACTCGTGGATATCAGATGGTTCAATTGGCTCTGCGCAGGAGAGGCAATCGCGAGAAGTCATCCTTGTCCGAAGCTCACCGGACCAGAGCAGGGGAAGAGAAGGCATTGTCCACTGCAGCATGTAGATCTCTCTGTGCTGGTCTGCAGTCACACGTGGAGGTGAACAATTCTTAGGAAAAGAGTAGCTCTAAGCCCTGACCTTATTCTGAGTCACTCACCAGATGACCTTAAGTGTTTGCACAATTTGTTTTGTTCTAGGAAAGTCTTTTCTGAAACCATCTCCATGTGTTCACCATTCCTAAGGTCAATATCGCTGCCAGAACTGCAAATCAAAAGTTGTTGTTGAATTGTTTGTACCTGGTGGTTATGTTATGTAGGTCAAATCAGTACTTTATCTATTCAGTTTGACTGTGAAAAATAACCTTCAATAGTTCCTTAGACCAAATGCACAAGCATTAATGTCACAAAAATGATCTGATCTCTAAACATCTGTAATGTTCTTTGGTGCACAAAATGTCTACTGGAAGAGAAAGCCTCTTACTGTGAACCATATACTTTTGCTGAGGATATTAATCATTGTAATCCTGCATCTAAGATGGTCTTTGACTGGCAAGTTAAGCTCCACTCCCACATTTTTCCAGGGTTTATGTAATAGTGAGATAAACGGAAAAGCAGCTGCTGAAAAGTTTGAAAAAATTGGGGTGAAAAAATCTGTAGGAGAGAGAGGGGAGGAGAAAAGGAAAGGTCTGTGGTCATGGAGTTTGGATTCTGCTGGTTGGACAGGAAGATTCCAGCTGTAATATACCTTACATATCATTGTAATTCTGTTTGCCTTTAATCATGGGAAACAGAAAGTGTATTTTGTTCCGTTTGAGACTTTGCAGGTTAACTGGGCTTATTGAAAATGTCACAACCCTATAAATATTGTAGTCATTTTGTAGCTTTTTAAACTCTCCACAAACGTAGGCCTATGTAGTCACACATATTGAAAACAGGTTCAAGTAATTTCATTCAGATGGAGAATTACCAATCTTTTTAATTTTGTGATATGCTCATGGTTTGAGCTTACCTCAAATTACATTTATATACATTTATGTAATACATTTACATATTAAAGAGATTCGCCTCAAAAAAATAACAATTCTGTCATAATATCATTCTAATAATATTGAAGTCTTTCAAAAAATTATATGACAAACACAAAAGGAGTCATTAAACATCATATCGTTACGCCAGTAGGTGGCGATAAGTTCATGAGTGGATCATTCACTAAACCGATTTGTTCAACAACATGGATTCATTCAGAAATGATTTAGCGACACGAGTGAGTCATTAAATAATTCAGTAAACAGATTTGTTCAAAATCTGTTTCACATGGATGCATTTAGGAAGGAAACTGTTGCTCGGAGACGCGGCTTTATCTGGACTGGAACTGTTTTCATTGTCGGAGCAAAAACAGACAAAATAACTGGCAACGTTGTGTCTAAAAGCTAAGTTACTCAGTATTACCATCTTGTTTATTGACCAGTTGTATAAAGGCACCATCTCTCTTGAAATTTTGATGTTGTTTGAAATATCAAGCTGTGCTATCATAATGGACGTGATTGGTTAAACAAAGTCTCAGAACTTATCTCCTGTTGTGTTGGATAGCAGAAAAAGGTCATAAGGGTTTGGGATGAGGGTCACATGAAAGTGAGTCAATAATTTATATTTTTGGGTGAGCTAATTAATCCCCTCACCCTCTCCTAAACCAGCGTTGTTATTGTTAACTAAAGCTAAAACTATTAAAATGTAATTTTATTAATTGATATAGACTTGTCACAGAAAGAATGTTACAAATTAATGAGAATGTTTGGTTGGGTCACTATAACATCAACATACACGCTTATCTAAAGCCAGAAATATATTAAAACAGATGCTGGCCCTCAATTTAGAAAACTGAAAGATATACCATGCAGAGACCAGTCAACTCATAACATAATAGAACAAAACATTCCTCTGATGCTTAAAAAGATTGCTTTATCTAAAAGCCTCATTTAAAACATTTTCTTTTGGCTTACATGAATACCATAAAATGTTGGATGAAAACTTCTGCTGAACCATTATAAACCTTAAGGGAATGAACTGGCTTTGTTGTGATCAAAATTTTTTGGCTTGCTTCTCCCTGTGTAATAAATCATCACTAGAGGACATGATGTTCATGCTCTGTTAGTGTCCAGCTGCTAATCAGATTTCATCTAGTATTGTAATCATTCACATTTGACACTGTCACTGCACAAGTCTATTACCTCACCATTCATTAGGGTCCCCTAGTCAAATGCAGTTAACAGCTCCCCCATGAGGTCTTAAATTGCAGCAGGCCCCAAATTAATTGTTAAAACAAACAAACAAACATATGTTTTCGCTGGTATAAAACTTTCCTTGATTGAGTATTTGACCTTGTCTTCTAGTATGCTGTCATACATGCCAATGATCACTTCATATTTTATTCAGTTTTATTCAGCTTTCCATAAATTTGATGTGAAGCCCTGTAGTTTAATAGTCTGGCCTGTGGGTACCAGGCTTTTGTTCTCCTGGGGCAGTTTATGGCTCAATTTCATTTTATTCATTTGATCAGGAACCTTCTGCAAACAAAGTTTTCCAGTGCCCATATAAATTGGACAGAAGTTGCCTAATTTTAAGGTTCAAGAAATCCAATAAAGTAAATGTGATGTTGGTTGTTCCTTCTAAAAGAAAAATTCCAATTGAAAACAGCCCACATTGAAAAACACTGCCAGGGCTTCTCCTTTTGTCATGGTTATTACCCGTAGCAGTTTATTAATAACTTTAACCATATTTCTAATTGTGTGATAATTATGTTAAATATAATAGCTGCAATTTTACTTTTACATTCTAGGGACTTTTCTTTTCGATTAAAAAAAAAAAAAATCTACATCTTGAATGATGTGAAGGTACATTTTCAGCAAGTATTCATTTTTGTTGTACTATTCCTTTAAACATTCAACATCATTTCCACTGATTTATTTCTTATTTTGAATAAAGAAAAATGATGAGGACGTTGAAGATCTCAATGAAGATGTTAATTGCAGCAAAGCAGTGACAATGTATATGTAGTACCTTGGGTTCAATGGAGTTGGAATGAACCCCGAACGTCCAAAACTCCAACCTTTTATACAGTTACAGTTTACTACCCGTAATGTAAATGAAGTTGCTCCTGTCGTAACAGCTGTGGTTGAAGTTGAGACAGCCCATTGTCTGAGTTGGTTCTCAGAGTCATTTGCTGAGGATGTGATCATCACAAATGGTGCTGAAACAATATAACTGTTGACTTTCTTCTTCTCTATAATAATTAAGCCATTTTGGGAAATGAGCATGATTGAACATCTTTTGTGAAGTGAAATCTGGGTCAGGACAGTCTGTAGTTTCTTACAAAGGGATAGTTACTAATAAGCATTTAAAAGTGGGCAAAAATGTTTTTATTTACTCAACTGCTAAAAAAAAAAAAAAAAAGCTGGTTTGGTAGTTTTAGCTCGTCTCTCAGCCTGGTCGGGGTGATGTGTGTGATTTTGGAAGGGCTTATGGCCATTTCAGCAGGCCAAGCTTGGCCTGGCTTGGAGGCAAGTTTAAACCATGATTCAGCCAGCTTAAAACAGAATTTAAAAGTTGTTCTTTTTAACAAGGGTTATATCACACTTATAAGCAAACTGCATTACAAATGTCAGAGCTTATAGTTCACCCAAAAAAAGGGTGAAATGAAAATTCTATCATTAATTACTCACCCTCATGTCGTTCCAAACACGCAAGACCTTTGTTCATCTTCAGAACACAAATTAAGATATTTTTGATGAAATCCGAGAGCTTTCTGACCCTGCATAGACAACAATGCAACTGACACATTTAAGGCCCTGAAAGGTAGTAAGGACATCGTGAAAATAGTCCATCATTGGTTCAACCGTAATGTTATGAAGCTACTAGAATAGTTTTTGTGCGCAAAGAAAACAAAAATAATGACTTTATTCAACAATTTCTTACCTTCTGACACGGATTTCTTATACCTTCTGACGTTTTAGAAATGTATTCTATATTCTATAAATATATATATATTTTTTATGGATGTTATATTGTCTTTACACATTTCCTATTCTTTTTTACTAAATAAAATTTACAAAACTTTTTTTTCTTTACAAAAATAATTTTCAACAAGCATCAAATTATACAGCTGTAATGTATCTATAATTTCATAAACACAGTTTCTGGAAAAAAAGGCATATTATGCATAACATTACCATCCTAACAGCAGGCCAGCACTATTGTTGATACTCAGTATGTTAAAATTTTGGAACAGAGAATAAATCTGGGGGAGAATCTACCTTTGGTAGTATCTTTAATATGCTGTACCTGTGATTTTGCTGGCCTGATAAGTGTAGCAGTAAACTACTACAAAAATAAGTAGCAACTGAAATATGTGTTACTTTTAATGTCAGAACAATCATATAACTGCTCCCTACAGATCAGAAAAAAGTTATAATACACTTTGCCCTCTGCTGGGCCATTGTGAGAAGAGCAAGTCATCTGGCCAGTGTGCCCACTTTTGTGTTGTTCACAGCTAATTTAAATTCAGGCCCATGATTAACCATTGGAAACATCCCAACTATCCCTCATAAAGAGGCATAAATGTTTCACCATCCCAGTATGACACTGTTAAAATGCAACCTATGACCACACTATGACAAAAGACAGCCTTATGACCCACATGGTCATTGGTCATTTAAAAATAGCATGTGTCTTTTGTTACTGGCTAATGTTAAAAAGATATGGGGTGGAGGAAAGCAGATCTGAGCAACCTGTGCGTTGCCATGGACACAGGGCACTAGGAGGAATGCTCGGAGGCCCAGTGTGTTAGGTGCTCCTCCCTTCAGGGAATTTTAGTTGTTCACCTCCAGGATAAACCTGTGTACACTGATGAGGTGTGTATGACTAATGTATGAATGGAGATTGACGTTGAATTTCAGTCCTTTTTACAGCTGACGCACATCAGTGCTTTATTTGCTTGTTTGCATCCAGGAGGTTTGAAGCAGAGGTGTGGTTTACAGGTGCAAATTCAGGAAAGGCCAGTTCCCGGGTCGCCACGAGCGAGACAGATCCCTCCCCTTGCCTCTTGTCTCTGGATGCACACTCTCTGAACTCTCAAACGATTTTACTTCAACCTACCTCGATCATCTCACCCGAGTCCTACCGGCAGCACTCAGGTAGGTTTATATAACTTAAATATATACTCAGTTTATATTTTTAATACATAGAAGCCTATTGAGGAATGTTGTACTGCTTTAAAATTCATCTGGCCTAGTTTGGTGTAAAATGGAGAATAGGTATTAGATATCAGTGCAGTATGAATGCTGTTGATATTTTGATCCACTGTAGGAAGTCATTATGATTACGAAAAATAAATGACCTTTAGGATGTTTGACAAACGGTGTCACATACCTATTAGAAGTTTAATACCTGAAAATTCTTGGTAAAATTATACATGGTAGCAAGAGATTTTCCGGATACACTGATGAACTTCTGTCTAATAAACAATGAAGCAAAAATATATTCTTTAAACAAACCTTTGGAATATATATTTTATTATAGCCTAACCACACACAGTTCTTCTCAGTACATTGCGTTATTGACTTCATATGACTGCTGTATTACACTTCAACATAAGAGATGCCACATACTTAGTACTTGGAAACCTGTTCTGGCACATTCTAAGATTATTAATAGAATATTTTCCTCCAAGATGCTGTAAGGAGGGAGAGAGAATTGTCTAAAATGGTGTTATTTTACATTTATAATTTAACAGACATGTACTTTAACTCCCCCCCCCCCAAATTGGTGAATTTTCATATTGACTTCATGTTGCCTCAGAATTATGCCAGCAGACATAAACTATAATAATAATAATAATAACTGACAAATATATAATTTATAAATTGACCGTAAAATAAAGAACAACATAATGTTATAATAATTATTGGTAAAATTATGATAAATATTTGTAAATAATAAAAATAACTACACCACTAGAAATCAGCATCTGATTCAGTTATGACATGCCAGATTAAATGTTCTATAAACTAAATACAAAAACAGGACATTAATGTGGAGCCCAAGTACTTTTTACTCCTTCAAACACTTTCATTTCTGTAACATTATTACTGTTTAACTGTAGTTTTGTTGGTGGCCGTCAATATTAGATAGCAGATAAACTGGCCAAACAGGAATAACTGTGAAGTGGCGATCCAATGGAAATAGTTACTCAGTTAGTCATGTTAAGTGTGGGTGCATCTGTGCAACATCAAAATAAAATATACTGTAGATGCCAATTTCTGACATCATCATGCCACATCTATGTCTCATCAAATCATAATTTTATTTAAGTATTAATACAAGTATTTGTATGAACGTTGCTTTGTTCTTTGTGTTCTGTTTTGTCATCATTTCACTCAAAGCGTGCATCTAAATATAGTTTGGGTGTGTACATTGTATACCATACACAGAATACAGAATATTGTATGCTCACCTCCTGCTATTGCAATGTAGTGACATGGTTGAATGGTGTACATTACAGTTGCATCAAGAGGGCTTAGATTCACTTCAGTGAAAAGGACTCATGGGAGTGGAACAAAGGGCTGCTAAACAGAGGTTTCTGAGAAATAAAGACTGAAGAACACTTTCATTTTGTAGAGAGAGACATCATAGGTTTTGCTTCACACAAATGTTGATTAATTTATCTTTTGATTGATGCCAGCATTTATAACAATGATGTCTACGTATGTAATAGAACTTATGTTACATTTAAAATAGTGGAATTTTTTTTTTGCTTGTTGGCATTGTTTAGGTTTGCTGTGATATGCACACTCCACACACAGGTAACATGTCTTATTTTGGCAGGTAGAGGAACCAAACATGAAACTGCCTCTGGGCATCACACTTGCACTCTTCTTGATACTTCAGACGTTCCAACAAGCGTCCACCCAGATACCTGAGGATTGGGAAAGAAATAATGAGACTACAGGCGACAAAGGAAAACAACCACATAGTGAGGAAATAACTGCTAAACCAACAGGAGAAAGTAAGGCAGACATACAAAGCAATGTAGACGCACAAGCCAACCCAGAGAGCGGTACAGAAAATGAAGGACAACCATTTGGCACATTTAATTATAGTGAAGGAGGAGAGCAGAATTCCACAAAGTTGGATCTGATGCCTGAGCAGTCTGTTGCTGACACAGAGGAAGCTAGTTCTGAGGGTCCCATTGCTACAACAACACCACCTCCTATGATTGCACTTAATTCAAGTTCTGAGCTCTCAGATACATCAGCAGAATCCAATGAAACACTGACACAGGACACAAATACCTCCACACCAGAGCCAGAACACACAAATGAATCTACTCTTATTGACACATATACCAGTCCACAACCTGAGACTACCACAACAGAGAGCAGCCATGATGAATCGGGTTCTGGATATTTGCCCTCAGATGATGTACCCACCAACAGCACTACTAAGAGTCCGACCACCACAACAAAAGATGAAAGCGTCCAGAACAAAACTACAGTGAGTCCAACTGAACCACCAGTACACAGAACTACAACGGCAGTAATTCCACCGACCGTCTCTAAGGACGTCATGACTCCTGCCCCAGACAGTGAGGATACAAACCAGACCAAACCTACTGACACCAGAGGGAATTCTGAAAGAGGTTCGAATCACAAACCGGCGTCAGTCAAGTGTTATTAATAATAAGTGTGTTTATAACAAAGACTAAATTTAATTGGATGGCTGAGGAGTTTTGTCATTAGATATTAATTATTCAAGTACCCTACTGTTTAAAAGTTTAAGGTCAGTACATTTTTTTAAGCAGCACAACTGTTTTCATCTTTGATAATTATAAAAAAATGTTTCTTGAGCACCAAATCAGCATATTAGAATGATTTCTGAAGGATCATGTGACACTGAAGACTGGCGTAATGATGCTGAAAATTCAGCTTTGCCATCATTTTCAAATATATTAAAATAGAAAACAGTTAATTGTAAAAATATTTCACAATACTAATATTTCTTACTGTATCGTTGTTTAAATAAATGCAGCCTTGGTGAGTATAAGATTTCTTTCAAAAACATAAAAAATCTTGCAGACCCCAAACTTTTGAACAGTGGACATGATAAAATTATAATCCAAAAATATTTAGCTGAAATTGAATGCTCGCTCGAAATCTGTGACACTGATGGTGTTTTGACCTTTTATAAGCATTATTTCACTCCCCATTTCCATAGCACAAAGATCACGCAAATCTTTTTATTTCATCCCTCAAGCTAACCCTCATTCTTGGCTTCTCGATTCAGTCATAAAATACATATTTGCTGCTGTTCCTCGACGCTGGGTTGGATTTCAGGCTTTGTTTGTCCTCTGCTCTGGGCCAGAGTGTCTAGTTACTGACACCTCACCTTCCCTCACAATAAGAGTGGTGTTCACCCTGCAGATATTGGGAGGGGCTCCTTTCAAGGTCAGGGGTGGACCAATGTGACACAGAACACCGCTCGAAATCTGTGACACTGATGGTGTTTTGACCTTTTATAAGCATTATTTCACTCCCCATTTCCATAGCACAAAGATCACGCAAATCTTTTTATTTCATCCCTCAAGCTAACCCTCATTCTTGGCTTCTCGATTCAGTCATAAAATACATATTTGCTGCTGTTCCTCGACGCTGGGTTGGATTTCAGGCTTTGTTTGTCCTCTGCTCTGGGCCAGAGTGTCTAGTTACTGACACTTCACCTTCCCTCACAATAAGAGTGGTGTTCACCCTGCAGATATTGGGAGGGGCTCCTTTCAAGGTCAGGGGTGGACCAATGTGGCACAGAACACCTGACATTGCTGGAGAACAAATTCCATGATCTTTTTAGTGAATGTAACTCTAATCGATCTGTGTCCAAACAGCATTATGAACTAAAAAGAAGAGGTCATATTTGCATATTCAGAATTATTTTTTATATATTTATATTTTATGGTTTTGAAGTATACTAATAAATTGGAGGAAAATGACCGGCTTTAAAAAAGTTCTTTAATAATTGAAAAAGACCTCTGATGGTGTTGGTCTGATTTGATTCATGACTATTTTTAAGCAAGTAACTCCATGTTAAAGGCAACCACAATATTACACAACCCAAAATTAAGTTTTTAATTGCTAATTTGGTCAAGTGTTGCTTCGTTGTTACAATAAACATGAAATATGTCTTTACAGGTTTATCTTCAGATGTTTCAGATGTTACCGAAAGCAAGAAAGGGCAGGCATGGACTGTTGTCCTAGTCATTGGGATTATGGTGGGGGCCCTGGCTTTGGGAGCATTTATCATCCTGAATCGAAGAAACAAAAAAGACTTCTCACACAGAAAACTGGTGGAAGAGATGTCACCTGATCCAGGTAAAATAAAACTAACCTGTCATTATTTGCATCACTTTGAACCAAGATCCAATTGAATACATGTGAGGGCATATGAATATATCACAGAATCATGTTTTCACTGTGATACTCTGATTCACATTGTTTTGTCTCATCTTTTCAAAGTTCTCCGACTGGACAACAGTGAGCCACTCGACCTGAAGTTTGATGGATTTGGTTACTACAATCCAGGACTACAAGGGGACAACATCCAGATGACCAACTTTCCACAGGGACATTCAAAATGAGAACAAATCTGTGATGCCAAAGACATTTTTTTTAATGTTGCAGCACCCATGTGAAGACAAAAGGATGTAATTAAGAAATTATTGTAATTTTTGCCAAATCAATCATAAGGCAATTTTGCATAAATGAACAATCAAAACATTTTTTTTTAATGTTTAGTAGTGTCTTTTGTTTGAATGTTTTAGACTATCTGAAAGAAGAATATTTCTATACTGGGCACTTTTTGTTTGAACTGCAAAGTGTTGGATTGTATGTCTGCTTCTATCTAATTGTTCAACAAGATTGTTTACATGACAATTACTGTATCATGTCAAAACCCGTATATGCAAAATGGTGGAATTGATCAGCATTATGACACAGCTTCACTATGCACAACAGTTTTGTTCTAGAAGATCAAGATTATGTCACTGAACTGGGAGAACATCTATTGGCGTTTTGCCTCGTTGAATTTTCAGACACAGGCCTAATACCTTTCTTCTGAGCCTATAATATGTTAAGATTTTTTTAGTTTTCAAAAGCTTTAAACTAAATAGAGAATAAACGTGGCAGTAGGTTCTCAGATTATTATAAATAACAAAAGGATAAAATAAGGCTTGTCTCCGTGTCTGATTATTGTATAATCAAGGTATTATTAAGAATACTTGAAGCAGTGTGATCTTGCTTGCGTCCTCCAGTCCTGTAGATGGCGCAGATTCCTTCCGAACATAAAAACACATTTTGATAAACATGGCAAAGAAGAATGGAGGAACCTGGCTATCTAATTAATAGTAGTTTATTATGGAAGGTCCGGTCATGATTAAAACTGAGAAAGTTTTACATTTGAACAGCTCAAAGGGTAGAAAGGTCCGTGTGGTTCGGGAGCACTATGTGAGGGAACAGGTTCCGTGTGGAAGCTCCCTCTGTCAAGCGGACTGTCATAACGGTAAGGAGAACATGGGCCAGCCAAACATCAAAACACCATGAAATATGTGGTTTATTATCATTATAGAGAATGGATCAGCATACCAACAGAACTAGATAGCTAACAGTAGTTAATCTTAAATTCAGTGGTCTTCACATTCTGTACTGAGCTATAGCTTTACGAATTGTTAACTTGGATCGACTCAGAAATCTTTGTATTTGGCTTATTAGAGTGTTTCATAATTATTGGTGACTTGATGTGGTATAACGCCCTCTGAATGGATCATCTCATACTAGTTTAGGTTGAACTTAATGTAGATGTTTAGTAATGGAACAAATCTAAGTTTACAGGTTGTCCTACTTAACCCTTTATTCACCCTACTAATTAGGTAATGACCAGTAATTTACCTTAGAGAATACCTCAAACATGGAAGCATTAATTGCAGGATGAAGTACCAAACAAAAGTATTTATTGTCATTAAAACATCCGTCAGTAAATCTTGGTAGTTTGGTAGTTCATCCTGCAAATACTGTTTGAGGTATTCTCTTATTGTGTTCCCAGTTTAGCTAATAAGATAATAATGGTTTGCATTGACCGTTTGTGCTCCAATAGACGGGAAGGTGCTGTCTGGTGATGTGACACACTATGTGGTTCCCGATGTCGGAGTGGTTCGGGATTTCCTGGAGATACTGGAGTTCAGGGAGCTGCAGGGGATTGTTCTGACCCAGACAGCCTACCAGACTGTTCAGCACACCCGTGGACGCCGGTAAACCCCTCAAATATCTTTTTTTGACATCAGATTTACTTATTAATTAAGCCACTTACTCCTAGTATTGTGTGTGAATAAAATAGGAAAATTCCTTCAGGAAATTGGAAGGGTTAGTTCTACAGGTTGCTTTCATAGTTGCATTTTGTTTCGTCTTGCACAGGCAATATAACAGACTGCGCGCTTTACTGAAGGACCCTCGCCATGATTGTGTGCTGTTTGCCAATGAGTTTCAGCAATACTGCTACTGCCCCAGAGACAAGGGCGAGTCTCAGGACAAATGGCATACAAGGTCCTGACTGTCCAGTATTACACTTTCTTTTATGCATTGTTTACTTTGAGAAAAGAGTAGTGAGAGTATTAATAGACTATAGAGCAGGGGTTTTCACAGACATTGGGCCTCCCTTTTAACACAACATACACAATGGTGCCTCTCCACCCCCCTAATTTTTACTTATTTTCAATAGTATAAAAATACTTTTTAATTTTCATAACTTAAGTTGCAATATATGTAAAAAGTGCAACAACAAAAACCATGCAAGGAAAAAAATACATTTGTTTAAAAATACATCAGCTTGTAACACTCCAAAGAGAAAGGAAAACCTCAAATCGCATCATATGACCCCTTTAATACAAATTATTGCAAATGAAGCTGCGATACCAAACAGGGCCACAGGGAGATGCCAAAAGAGCACTAAATCAGAATCATTAAACCCTCACATACTCGCTTCTTCGGCCAACATCCATTATAAAACACCATGATGATTATTGTAACCACCTTTCTCCCCTCTAGCGATGGCCCTGGTGGGGGTGCACAGGGACTGAAGTGGCCAGGCAAGCCTCCAACCTCCCCGAACCTGAGCATGCTTGTGGTGCTGACACTGTGGGAAACATAACTATGTCCCTTGTCCAAAAAACTGCTTCTTTTAGTTTTTTTATGTATTATTTTTTATTTTCCGATAATGTTTTGATTGAAACTATTAATTATTTGTATTTATTTTTTTTACCACTCTGCACGGCTTCCTTGACATGCTCTGGTGTGCCCCACACTTTGAAAACCCTGGCTATAGTCTAATAGAATATTCATTTTGAATCAACCTCTGAAGTGAAAAGAATGTCATGCACTCTGACTTTTTAGTGAACAATATTTTTTTTAAAGCAAGTAAACCTTATTGAGAAGTGAGAGAGTTGCTTCAGTGATCACATAGACACTTCATAGTATTAGAAGCGAGACCTGAGCTGAAGGAAAAAAAAGATAACTCACGGGAAAGTCATTTTAATGTGTGAACATGATGTTGATTCTGTTACAGAAATGTGTATAATGCAGCAGTTTGGTACTATAATCATCTAGCTGGACTCCAGCCAGTGGTCATGATTACAGAAGATAGTGATGCTATTTCAGAATTTAGTGCCTTAAACAGTGGAGTGTATGTCATCTCAACTAAGGTATATTCTTTTATTTTATTTCCTATGAAATCTGTAGTGTTGAATTATCAATATCTTTTTGGATTCAGATTAGACGTTATCCATACAAATGTTTAACTTAAAAAAAAATTTAACAGCTTGGTTTAGTATGTTGTTGAGACCAACATACTTGTCCCTTGGTAACACCAGTGAACTGTATTGTAGGAGTACCTGTTAAGCTTCTGGCCAGACCTGCAGGCCGCCTATGATCTGTACAACTCCATTGCTCAGACCCTTCAAGAGCGAGAGAGTGAAGGAGTGGAGAAAGTGTACACTGAGCACCTGCCTGCAGAGGTGCTGGAGGCTGGTATAAAATCTGGCAGGCACATCCAGGTAAGTGCCCCACACTCCTGTTTAAACTAGATCTCTTTCTCGGTAATGGCTTATGGAGACTACATTCCAACCCACTCCTTTCCCTTAAAGGGCATCCTCAGTGTGAACAAACATCGAGCACAGCTTGAAGCCTTTGTCCGTTACGAGGGTTCAGTCAGCAAAAATACAGGTTGTTACCAACATACTTGTATCAGTCGTTCAAATTATTTTTCTGATTACTAAAGCTCTTATTGATACTGATGGTGTTCTGGTCTTTTACCTTTGATACTGCCTGTGTGATCATGCGTTTTAGAGCTAAATAGTGATGTGCTGATCAATGGAGCAAAGCATCGTAACCGGGCGGTGCATGGAGACGTGGTTGTCATAGATCTGTTGCCCCGTAATGAGTGGAAAGGCAGGACTATGGCACTAACAGAGGGTCAGGGGGAGGAGCAGCCACTGGAGGACACACAGAGTCAGCCTATGCCCTCAGGTAATCATGGGTACATGATGATTACAATTGGTCTAGAACATTCTGAACACAACGTGAAGATTGACTGATACACAGGATGCAGACAGATAAATGGATTTACACATACACTGGTGTCCAAAAGTCTGAGAACCACGGTTGAAAATGCTTTTATTTAGTGTTTTTCTGTATATATATATATATATATTATTTTTTTATTATTACAAATGATATTTTGTGTTTGAGTGAAAATTTTATTGAAAAAGTTTGGTTTCGAATGACAACATTTCCAAAGTTTCAGTGTGGGAGCAGGTTTTTGAACCTAACTGTAGATGGCTGTATAAGTTGCGGTTGTTTTTTTGACTCTCTCCTCTCTTTCCTGTAGGCAGGGTGGTGGGTATTCTGCAGAGGAACTGGAGAGACTACGTTGCGACTTTTCCTCCTCTTGAGGCGGTGCAGTCACAGAGTCGAAATTCACAAAAGATTCTGGTTATTCCATGGGACTACCGCATCCCTAAAATCCGTATCAGCACACAGCAGGCTGAGGCTCTGCAGGTGGAGATATAATCCAGCATTTTAAATGCATTATGGTTTCCAATAGTCTAGATGAGCAGATCTTTTTTTGCAGCAAGTGTAATGTTTACATTATTGTTGACACCCTTTGTAAGTACTCAAACCTTCAGTAGACTGGCTGAAGAACTACAAATAATTACTTTTATTCAGCAATCATGCGCTAAATTGATCAAAAGAGACAGTGAAGATATTTATAATATTACAAAATATTTTTTAAATAAATGCATTTCTTTTGAACTTTTTATTCATCAGTGAATCCTGAAAAAGTGCGTCATGTTTTCCACAAAATGCAGCACAACTGTTGTTAATGGTTATTATATTATCATATTATATGATAAAGTTAATTTTAAAATATATTAAATATGAATATATGAAATCTTACATGGCATACTTCTCTGTGCAGAATCAAAGAGTGATTGTGCGTCTGGATTCGTGGGAAAGTACTTCTGTTTACCCCACTGGCCACTGTGTGAGGGTGCTGGGGAAAGCTGGCGAGCTGGAGACTGAGATTCAGACCATCCTGGTTGAGAACTGCATCCATGTTCCAACATTCTCAGAGGCACAGGTGGGGTCATATAGTGTCTGCATCTGATTCGAGTCAATTCAAATGTTTAAATT